CTGTCTAAATCAAATAGTGCAGCATGTTTGGTACAACAAAGCATTTGACCACATGTTTATTTTTTCATTCCCTAAACATTACTTATGAGGAAAGCAGCTATGCTCTCATTTTTATTTTATAACTAGTAAATGTAAACATGGCCAGCTTTATTTTTATATAACTTGAAACTAAAGCTTTCAAAAACTGAAAACAAGACAAAAAACCACTCACCCTAGCTTCCTCTTCCTGTCTGGTTTAAACCTAATTGATGTTCATGACAGCATCTGGGCCTTTCCAGGTATCTTCTCAGCTTATCTGCCTCTGCTTCCCTCCTCTTCCAACCAGACGTATATCCTACCCATTGTTCCTTAGATACACCTCACGTTTTACTGCCTTCTTGATGTTCCTACTCTCCCTCATCTTAGCCTATCAAAATCTGACTCATTTTTAAAGCCTGTACCTTGGATAGTTGTCAGAGCGTTGTCCACTCTCAGGGGAGTCCCCACAAAAGAGGGTCCACATGGTCAAACCTATGTGCATAACGCTAAGACATCAACTTCCTTTTTCACTGTGTTGACATTGATTCTGACAGTGCAAATGTGGATCCACCTGCTGGCACCTTACTGAACATGATTCGAAGTAGTAGCATGGGCACTTGGCAGTAGAAAAAGCCACTTTTACTTAAGAATGTCCTTGAAAAAGACAGTAGAAATTACTATTAATCAGGGCCTTCAAGAACATATCTTTTTCGTATGCTGTGTGGCTAAATGGGGACTACACAAAAAGCACTTGTGCAGTGGAGTTGTGAGCTGAACAAACCACTTTTTTCATGGAATTCATTTTTGCATGAAAGAAGAACAAACTATACATATTCAGACTTGAATATTTGGCATCCATTTTCTCAAAAATTAACTAAGTGAGTCACATCCAGGAAAATAACTGACAGTGTTTTTGCCAATGATAAAAATTCAAGTCTTCAAGCAAAAATAAGAATTCTGGAAAATGTATCAACCACTTTGAGTCTAACATCCTCCCCAGTACTTAAAAGAGTTTCCTGACGAGACCAGTGGTGATATGAACCAGTGATTTTTTTTCCATTCTATTATATAGTGAAATGTGAAAATATTTGGAAGATCTGTATAATTCAACAGATCAGCATTGCTAAATGACCAATGCATGATATTACAAAACTATGCATTTAAAATGCAAGATAGACCAATGGATTTTAATGAAACAGAATACTAATGTTCATTGATATGATTTCAGTTTCCACAGTGCAACTAACTTTTAAGAAACTAGCACTTTCCAAGTTTTGATGTAGTATTGAAGAAGAGCCACAGGTATCTGCAAAGACTATTAAAATACTCTTCCCTTTCCCAACTACATGTCTGCATGAGGTTGAATTTTCTTCTAAGGCTTCACCCAAAACAAGATCTGAAGAGTGAATACAGCAGTAGTATAAAAATCTAGATATCTTCTGTTAAGTCAGAGATTAAAGAGATTGGCAGAAACATAAAATGCCACTCTTCCCACTACCTTTGTTTTGGAAAATAATCATTTTTATAAAAATGTGACAACATGTAATGGGTTTATTATTTTTAATAGTCTTAAATAATGTTCTCTGTTTTAATTTCTAATATGATAAGTATCAATAGATAGAACTGCAAAAATCAAGCTCTTTGGGGTTCACATAATTTTTAAGAGTGTAAAAGGGTCTTGAGACCACAAAGGTCGAGAACTGTTATGCAAATTCTTTGTACCTTCCCTACACACATGCCACCTTGGCCTGAAGATGTGATTTTCCCCCTTTCATCTGATTTCAAACTTTCTACTTCTCATAGAATACCTTGTATTACAATTATTTGTGTGTTTAGTATATTCATCTTGAAGCTTAGATTTCAAGCTCTAAAGTCTTGAATGATCTCTCCGTGGTTTAGGGGGAACTGTCTGGGACAGCTGTGCCACTAACTTCCTCAGACACTATGGGTAAGCCACTGTGTCTTTGGGCCCATGTATAAAATGAGAGTTGGATTTAATCACATGTTTCCCTCTAACTAGGATATGGTATTTTTTTTTTAAGATTTTATTATGTATTTGACATAGAGAGACACAGCAAGAGAGGGAACACAAGCAGAGGAAGAGGGAGAAGCAGGCTTCCCACTGAGCAGGGAGCCCGATGTGGGGCTCAGTGCGGGGTTTGATCCCAGGACCCTGGGACTATGACCTGAGCCAAAGGCAGACACTTAACAACTGAGCCACCCAAGCACCCCAGAAATGGTATGAAATACTGTTCCTCTTAAAAGAACTTGTGGACCCAGTGTTGTACATCCATACACTGAGAGGTAAGGTACTTGTCATGGGGAAGAGCCCAGATTTTGGGGTCAGAGAGACCTGGGTTTCAAAAAGACAATATCTGCATCCTCTTAGAGCTTTCAGTCAGTGGGGGAAAGAAGTGAAACACTTACTACTGCGACCATGAGTGCTCTCAGAAGTAAACAAGGTCCTTACAGGGGACAGGCATCTAAATCAGGTTGCGAGAGAAGAGGGTTCTTCCTCCTTGTAGAAGATGATTCTTAAGTTGTCTTAATGTTTTAGAAGAATGACAAGTAAATTGATCTGGCTTGCTTTTCTATAGTAAGTGTGGAGGAATGGAGTGGTAAGATATGAGGATGCCCAGGCAAGTAGGGTTGAATTAGGAAACCCGTCCCATATATCCCTTAGAATAGAAATTGAGCAAACAGGAAGAAGCAGTTGAGAGAGAAGGCTGACAAACACTTTCTCTGAGTGACATGAATGTGTGTAATGCTACTGTTCACAATTACTTTCTCCTCCCTCCAGGAGGACCGAATATCCTCACCTGTTGAACTCAAGGGACTAAGAATGACATCCCACACTCTGAGAATGAAAGGACCTCAAGGAGGCATTCCCAAGAAAGCCATGTTCAGTTAAGGCAGAGGGAGGGCATGTGGAGTTCACCATAGAACAGGTATTCCAGAAGGCATGGTGAACAAAGTTGGCCAAGAGAGAAGATGGGGAAGCAGGAGATGGCAAGAGATGGGTAAGAAGAATGGAGCAGTATTGAGATGAGAGCTTGGAAGGAACTTACATTTCAACCAAAAAACAATAGGGATCAGAGCTCTGGGGGATTGGATCTAACTGAAACTCTGGTTCCAACTAGAAACAAGGTGGTTTCCATGCATGACATAGTCTCATGGCCCTGAGTGGTGACCCAGGCTGTTGGACTCTTTGCTGCATCTGGGTCAGCAGTCTACACCCTTTGCTCTCAGTTTTGAATAGAATTGATTTTTTTTTTTTTTAAGATTTTATTTATTTATTTGACAGAGAGAGACACAGCGAGAGAGGGAACACAAGCAGGGGGAGTGGGAGAGGGAGAAGCAGGCTCCCCGCAGAGCAGGGAGCCCAATGTGGGACTCGATCCCAGGACCCTGGGATCATGACCTGAGCTGAAGGCAGTCGCTTAACCAACTGAGCCACCCAGGCGCCCAAATAGAATTGATTCTAATAAAATCCAGATTGTTAGGAAACTTCAAAGCTTATCTCTGGCTAGGGAAGTACAAAGTACCCAAGAAAAAAATGTGTTGAAACGTAGTCATTGTCTTCAGAAGGCCATTATAGGCCCTCTGAATACTAGTGAGTAAGACCTAAGGACCAACCCTTTCTATCAAGAATTTGTTCATTAGGGCACCTGGGGGGCTCAGTTGGTTGGGCGTCTGCGTTTGGCTCAGGTCATGATCCCAGGGTCCTGGGATCGAGCCCTGCATGGGGCTCCCTGCTCAGCGGGGAGCCTGCCTCTCCCTCTCCCTCTGCCTGCCTCTCCTCCTGCTTGTGCACATGTTCTCTCTCTGTGTCAAATAAAATCTTTAAAAAAGAAAAAAAAAAGAATTTGTTCATTAGAACAAGTTATCAGAGAGCCAAGAGGATTCAGACAGATAAAGAAGGCTTCAGTTTGCTAGAGATCAATACCAGAAGAAAGGCAAGAAGAATGAACACATGAGATAGTTTCATCATTATTCTTACTTACAGCTAAGGAAACTGAGGCACAAAGAACTTGTCCAAAGTCACATAGGTTGTAAATAGCAGATTAGGATGCAAACTTAGATCAACCCAACTGCATCTGTGTAGAGGGAAAGGAGAAGTTGCTTTCCACAGGATGAGCTAGAGCAGAACCTCAGTTGAGTAATCCAGGGCTTTCACCCCGGTATTCCCCAGTAGAGCCCTAATGGACTAAGAGATGAAAACCAGACTATGAGAATGTATGATTCCAGTTTTACCAGAATAATACTTTCAGATATTTTCTATAATTTTGTTTAGAGGAAGCAAGGTACAGTGAGTGCCCAGGTATAGCTAAGTTTCAGGTTGTCACCCAATGCTGATGGACAGGTGGTAGCTTCCAGGAACAATATGAGGAGGAGGCCAGGTTAGGCACAACAGGAAAGCATTCCATAATCTACTAGTCAAGTCTGCCATGGGCTCAGGGATGAGGAATGAGAGACTACGGTGGATTTGATGACCCAAGACAAGATATCTAACTCAGTGGTTCTCAACTCCAGCTTCAGAACGAGTCACCTGGGAGCTTTAAAAAGTGCTAGTACCCAGGCCCAAGGCCAGAAATTCTGATTAGTCCATCTGCGATGTGGCCCGAGCATCAATATTTTTTAAAAACTCAGTTATTCCAGGGGCACCTGGGTGACTCAGTCGTTGAGCACCTGCCTTCGGCTCAGGTCATGATCCCAGTGTCCTGGGATCGAGCCCCGCATCGGGCTCCCTGCTCAGCGGGAAGCCTGCTTCTCCCTCTTCCACTCCCCCTGCTTGTGTTCCTCTCTCACTGTGTCTCTCTCTGTCAAATAAATAAATAAAATCTTTAAAAAAAAAAAACAAAAACTCAGTTATTCCAAACAAACAGGATTTTAGAGGGGAGGGGGGATGGGTTAGCCTGGTGATGGGTATTAAGGAGGGTACTGCATGGAGCACTGGGTGTTATAGGAAAACAATGAATCATGGAACACTACATCAAAAACTAATGATGTATTGTATGGTGACTAACAACAATAAAAATTTTTTTTTTTTTTAAAGATTTTATTTATTTATTCATGAGAGACAGAGAGGGAGAGAGAGAGGAGCAGAGGGAGAAGCAGGCTTCCCGCGGAGCAGGGAGCCCGATGCGGGACTCGATCCCAGGACTCCAGGATCATGACCTGAGCCGAAGGCAGTCGCTTAACCAACTGAGCCACCCAGGCGCCCCAACAATAAAATTTAAAAAATAAAAAATAAAACAACAAAAAAAACCTCAGTTATTTCAGTGTGCAGTCAGGATCGATATCTACTAGTAGCAATAGGATCTTGGGCACATCACATTCCTCTTTGGGCTTATTGTCCTCATCTGTTTCAAAAAAGAAATAGTTATTTGTTAAAAGCTCTTACTGCCAGTATAAAAATATGAGCTTACAATTGGTGATATTTAATGTCCCTTCTAGGATTAAACACTTGCATGAGTCTTTTTCATGATGTAATCATTCTAAAATGAGTATTTCATTTAGGGTTCAGAATATATCATCATTAGTGTTTCTCTTAGTGTCGATGCTGGTGTTAAGGTTTGAGTCCCATCATAACCTACTCACCTTACATGGGAAAGAATTGCAACCTCCAAATGTAAACGATGCAAATCCTTCCCACTAGAAGAAGCATCTCAGAGCATGTGGCTCTCCATAAAGTACTGGCACCATCTTCCACTGCAAAGAGAAGCACTTACTAATAATATCAAGTAGAAATCAGAAAGTAGATTGAAAACAATACTAAGTCAATAGAGATATTGTACATTACTTAGGAGCCATTTAAGTTCTTATATTAAAGATTTTTTTAAAGATTTATTTATTTAAGGGGGGGCAGCAGAGGGAGAGAATCTTCAAGGAGATACCCCTCTGAGTGGGGAGCTCAACGTGGCACTCAATCTCACAACCCATGAGATCATGATCTGCGCCAAAACCAAGAGTCAGACGCTTAACTGACTGAGCCCCCTAGGCGCCACAAAGATTTTTAATTGACATCCACAAGATGTGTAGGGAAAATTATAAAAGATTTGCTCTCAAAGAATTTAATGCTTTTTTTTTTTACATTTTTTATTGAGGGATGGGAGATTAAACAAGATTTTTCCCCAGCAGATTGAGGCATATCATATTACAATCGTCTTCCCCCTCAACATCTGGTGCCTGGAAGGACCCAGCAACGCCTCCCAAGTCCCTTCTATCTGGCCTAGGTTTCCTTCCGCCGCTCACTATGCACTCAAGACTACTGGGGCTTCTCTGCACTCAGCTTTTATGGAAGAACATTGGATATTTAATCAAATTACCAGCTCTAGTGATAAACCCAGGGACTAAGAAGGAAGGGATTTTCATGACCCCACCTGCAAAGCATAGATGTGTACACTAATGAAGCTCAGCACCGCGTCCTCAGGGAAGGAGCCCCACACCTCTCATTGCTTTTGCTCCTGATGATCAGCAAGGTTGAGCCCTAAATAAGGTGAGGTTAGGAGCACAGACCTGGAGTCAGACTGCCTGGATTTGAATCCTGACCCTACCACTTGAGGGCACGTGATGTTCCACAGGTCACTTCTCTTACCTGAGCCTCTTCTCGCCCACCAGTGGAACAGAGATTGTAAGAACGCCTACTTCACAGAATTGGTGGGAGGAAACAAATGAAATAATCCATGGAAAGCATTTAGCACGATACCTGGCTCATAGTACCTACTTAGGAAGTGTGAATTCTCTGCTAAGTTCTGTCAATATAAAAGTGCATACCTTAAAGACAACTTCCTGCCACAATCCTAGATCGGTTTTCTCCTTTGGCATTCTTCCTGTTTTGCCTTAAACGTATTTCACCACCACTAAGCTTCATGTTATATGCAGACCCAAAATGAGCCATTTAAAGGGCACTTCAAATCTCAGGTGTATTTCACTTAAAGTGCCTGCCTGGCCTTGCTCCATGTGTGGCCAGTAGGCGCAGAGTCGCTGGTCATCACACAGGAGTAGAGTTGATAAAACGTGGGTTATTTCTTAAGGAACTATAATAATAATCAGTCTTTTACATGATGTGTCTGAGTCTGGTGAATACCAAACGTCAAAATACAGACATCTACAGGCAGAATCAGTACATTTAGGCTCTTCACAACCCAGTGAAATTCAACACAGGACACCCCACATTTGCTCATCTTTGGTTATAACGTGACCAAAATGGAAACTGCTCATCTTATGTGTCGGTATTTGCGCTAGAAACATATACTTCTCCCAGACAGAGAGTAAGGAAAGGATTTTGCCTAAACTTCCCCTTCTACAGTTTAAAAATTCTTACTGTAATTTCAGGTCAGCTGTTGAGTCATCCAGTCACATTCTGAGCCCAACTCCACCATCCCTGAGGCCTGAAGGACTCTTCACAGAGCTACAGCTAATTAGAGTGGAGAAGAATTGCCCTGAGGGCTTAGGGATTTAAAAAGACCCATTGTCAAAAATAAATAAATAAACTAACTAAAATAAAATAAAAATAAACAAAAAAAAGACCCATCATTCTGAGCCCTACCAGACTTGACGAAACTAATAAATTGAGAATCTGGCCCATAGGGGGCAGACCCGCACTGAGGACCGGATAAAATGTCTTTGTTGGGCTGTGGTCTGGGAACAGCACGCATAACACTGTTGTAAAACATCATCCGTTTCCATTTTCTGTCAGTCCGCCTCCTGTTGTTAACGACATCCTGCAGTGGTGGAATTCCGTGTTTCTTCTCCGGCCAAAAATAGAAACCCTCCGTAGTCTAAACCATATGTCTGTTTTTAGGAGAAAAGCAGAGGCACCAAGCACTAGATCCGGTTTACCAGGGACACGGAACAACCCTCTCCACGCGGAGGCCCTTGTCATCTGGAGCTTGTGGCCCCGCCTCTGGAAAAATCGCAACAATTTCAATAACTCCCTTCCAAAAATTGACTCCTCAAGTACTTCAGGGAATCTAAGTGGACCTAAAGCCATGAAAGGACTCCTCACCTCCTACAAAAGATGGGAAATCAGGGTGCCGGGCTTGGCAGAGGCAATTGGTGAAGCCACAGGGGTGAGTGAGTTTGTGCTGACAGGCTTTCTGAGACCGGGAAACCGTATCTCCATGACCTTCGAGCATGATTAGTCAGCACAAATATTCCCAGAATACAGTGATTGGGTTTTATTTTTAATTTTGTTTATTTAAAGGTGCAGAAAAACACAAAAGAAAAAAATCATTTCATAACTCTCCTTTTTTTGTGCATTGAAACACCACGATCTATAAAAAGGCAGAAGTCCTTCTACTATCCCAAGAGGCAAACACTGTTCATTTGGCGCCCATCCTTCGGGATGGGTGAATGAGACATTTACTGATTTTTTTTTTTTTTTCTTAACAAAGAAAAAGATGGAGTCCTGCCGGCTGCCTGGGCAACCTCAAGCCCAGCATCTGCAGAGGCCTCCGAGGGGCCAGCGATCTCCTCACAGGGCCTGCTGGCAAAGAAGAGCCAGCCGGGCCTCCATCCCCATGGGCTGTGCCTCACAGTTAGTCAGAAAATGAACGCTCAAAACATGATCACCAAAATTCTCATAGCATTTAAACTATTACATTGAGCAAATTACTATATGAACAGAAAAGTATAAGCCACATAAGATTACAGAATTTAATTACATACATACGATATGTAATACATATATGTAATGTGTAATATATATAGTGTATGTATATATGTGTATATTTTTACAGTGTATTATAAGCACTGTAGGCTCTATAAATTGTATGTATATATATACACATACATATGTATATATATATTTTTAAACAGGGCATTATAAGCAGTAGGTTCTACAGGGCTTGAAGAGCATCTTTAGCCCCGCGCTGTTCTACCTGGTTCTAGCTGCTGTTCTACCTGTTCTAGCTGCTGCCGCTGTTTTTAACCTACCATAAGAACTGCAGGCCAGGAGCTGCCAGTTTTAAGGGACAGGGCGCCTTTCAGTCCTGTCCCTGTATTCCTGTGCCTATATTTATTGCTATAATATCAAAATCTAAACCTGAGCCCTTGGTAAATGTTCCCCCTGGGCTTCCTGTCTTCCCATCCCTTAGCTGACCCTGTGCCCGAGGGTCCGCGTCCATCATCCAGCCCCACACATTAGCCTGGGTGCTCCACCATCACCCCACATCAGGTCTGTGTTCTTCCAGTCATCCCCAAATGCTACCTGTACCCCCTTTGCTGCCCCCTGGCCACGGACATAACCACAGAAACTACCACGACTATGCTCCTAAGGTGAGGGCCTTCCCTGTTCTCTCAGAGGTGAAGGACTGCAGCCTCCCTAGGGTCATGGTCACCAGCACAGGTTTTCAGCTCTGCTGGTGGCACCGGCCATGAAGGACTCTGCTGCATCGGGAGGGCATGAGAGGGTCTGCCAGGGAGCCCCAGAAGTGCAGAGTGAGCGTGGCAGGAAGCGTGTCACAGCACAGTTAGCTAAATCGTCACGTGCTGGCTCGTCCACTTAACCTCCCTGAGCAACAGCGACATACAGGAAGGACCTGTGACTGTCCTTGCTAGATACTCTAAATCCCAAGCTCTCTTCAGTGGTTAATGTCCTGAAGGTACATGTATTGTTCCCTGGTTATTATAACCTGTGTCTTTTCTGGACAGGGGCAGGGCTTTAGGACAGGTTGCAAGGAGAGAAGACAGCATCTTAAAATGAGAGCATCCGAATTGGAAAGAACGTCAGACAAGATCATTAATCCAGCCCCTTCATTTTATAGATTAAGTCAACAGGCTCAGAAAGTTGACATGCCTACAGACACACAGATAATGGTTTCAGGAACGTTTTTAGATGAGAGGAGTCTTGGAAAGACAGGCAGATGGGCCCCTAGGAAAGAGTATCTTCGATGCCCTACCCCTGCCTTTGGCCTAATCCTCTTAACTCTCACCTTGTCAGATCTGTGACCTGCCCAGGCCGGACCTCTCCAGATGGCCCCCTCTTTCCACCTCCCCTCCCTCAACCAAGACAAACCACTCCTGTCCACACTCTCATGGACTCCCCCACTGAAACCAGCTCCCCAGGTTGAAAAACAAGCTGATAAATAATCCCCCCCCCCACCCCAGCTGTTAAAAGCTGATAATGGTTCCTAGTGGTTCTGCACTCATGGATATTCTTTTTTTAACTTAATTTTTGAAAAGGCTCAATTCATATGGCTCAAAATTCAAACAATATAAAAATCCTCATTCCTCCACCTGCCTTTCATTGAACCAATCCCCATCCCAACTCCACAGGTAATCATTTTTATTAGTTTCTCGTATATCTTTTTAGAGTTTCTTTATACTCACATAAGCAGATACAGATATATATATTCACAGAGAATTCTTAAGAGTTCTCAGAACTGTAAGCCAAAGAAATCTTTTTAAAAAAAAAAAAATTTTTTTTATTTATTTGAGAGAGGGAGCACAAGAGGTGGTAGGGTCAGAGGGAGAAGCAGACTCCCCACTGAGCAGGGAGCCCAATGCTGGACTTGACCCCGGGACTCCAGGATCATGACCTGAGCCAAAGACAGTCGCTTAACCAACTGAGCCACCCAGGCACCCAAGAAATCTTGACAGTAGAACTCAGGCACTCTAAAAATCTCATTGGGCAACAGGTCTTTCCCAGAGCCCCTTTTGGCAATGACTTGTAAGGGGCTGGTTTCTTGTAGTCTGAGTTCCCTGCT